TGTGAATTAGTAGCCACCTCTTTTATATTTTCCATAGCTTGGTAAACTTTTGGTTTTCATGGGTGAGAGGAATGACTGTGCCCACTGAAGAATTTGCAAAAACTGATACATTATCATTTTCTAGTATTGTATGCAATCTGGCTTTACATGTAGCTTTGCAATCTGGCTTCATAAATAGTTACTATCATCCACTATTATTTTAAGACCACCAGGGGTACTGGTCACTGTATAGACCATTATGAGGGCTAAGATTTATATAATATAAAAAAATGGGAGTACTGCACGAACTTTGTCAATGGAGAAATGAAACCAAATGAGAACTAGTTTAAATACATTAAGTCTGCCAAATTGGGAAGTTGAATTGGTCAATGGAGAAATGAAACTGAACTGTCAACCAGTTATTTTATCTTTTATGGTGAAATTGCCTTACACCCAATTAGTTATATAGTGAAAATGTTTGTGGAGCAAATGCTTGCAGCAAAGATGTTTACTGCAAAACTACTGAACAGAATAAAATATATTAAAATTAATTTCACTTGTTTCTTTTTACCTTTTTATTATGGCTATTGGAAATTTTTAAATTACGTATATGACTCATGTCAATTTCTATTGGACAGTACTACTGGAGAAATTACAATATGCAAAGTTAAATTTCCACAGACTACATCAGGTAATATTGTGCCACTTCACATAAAATATAGAAACCTTGCAACTGTATAGATTCATTTACCACCATCACCCCATCCTTTATGCTGTAATTGTCACATGTACTACATACATTATAAATCCTACAAGAAAATGTTATTTTTGCTTTGAAGAGTCAAATGTATTTTAAAGAACTTTAGAGAAAAAATAGAACTTTTATTTACCATCTCTGACGCTCTTCATTTTTTTCCTGAAGATTTAAGTTTCTGTTGGGCTTCTTACTTTTGGATCTCTCTTTTCCAGAATTCCCAACTCACTTTCCAGTGGATATGGTTGCCACAGACTCTGTCCTCTGGTTCGTCTAAGAAATAATACTTTGTCTTGGAGTTGTAGCTGCCCTGGGCAGTACCAATTGCAGCCTGCTTGTAGGCAAAAAGCCATCAGATAAAAGTAAAACAACAACAACAAAAAAAAAAAAAAAACTCAGGGGGGAATCATCTTATACTATTCCCCTTTTCCAACTCTTGAATCCTCTGCAAAACCATCCTTTTTTTTAATACTTCCTAGTATTGCTCAGGAGTTTCTGCTATTTCTCTCCCGACTCTCTCCACCACCACCACCACCCCCCAACCCTCCAGGTTATAATTTCTATTTGGGACAATCTGTCAGATAGGAGCTTTACTTGGCTTTACCACCAGCAGCAGAGTTTAGAGCTGCTACTTCAAGCCTGGCAGTTCTTCAGAAGCTGAGGTCTTCACAACTATTCTATATGATATTCTTAAAGACAGTGTGAGCTAGTCAAGAGTTTATCAAACTCTGTTAAGGATACTTGGAAATACCTCAATTAAGGATAATGTAAGAGAATAACAATGTATAAAATAAAGATTTAAAACTGGATATCAGATATTATTGCTCCTAGAGTCACCCCTTAATTTGGAATTTCCTCCTGGCCCTTTGTCCCCTTTGCCCCAGCATATCACCATGCTGTTGAGGCTGTATTCTCTTTTTCCTCCAGAAATCTCCAATTTACCAAAGAAACAAACAAACAAACAAAAAACCCTAATATCAGAATAATCTCAGAAGAGACTCCTGTCTCTAGGAGGAGTATGTTTCAATATAGTATACCAGTTGTTAAAATACTGAGATCCGTCTGTACTGAATAGACAAACAGCCAAATTGCTGCAGCCCTGACATCCCCCCATCCCCACTCCCCGCAAATCGCTCCCACCCCTCCAGCCCTCTCCCAGGACCCCCTGTGCCTCAGTAAGATTCAGCCACTGAAGACTTACACAGGGTACCAAGGGGAGCCTCTGGGACCCAACTCCAGAGCTGTGGCATGAATCCATACTAGTTAGTATTATCTGTTTTATCAGTTGTTGAAATATCCACTCTTATATGCTACAAACAAAATAATTTTTTAATGATAGATAAACAGAATATTCAGTCTGAAGCATTCAGTCAGATTACTACTTGGGTTCAGGGTTTCCTCCAAAACAACAAGTAGTTATAAGTCCTACATCTAAATAAATTTAAAAATTGGCCAAAGGGTATCTTCTGGGAAAATAGACAGAGCTTCCCCAAAGACATATTTGGGCTTCTACCCTAGATGGTAGAAACTGCTATTTAAAAAACAAAACAAAGCAGAAATAAACCACAATTACTCTGCAGTGCTTACCTAGTTTCTTGCTGTCATTTTGTACTTGTCATTTTTGCCTCTCTGACATAAATTACGTACTGTATTGCTCCATAATTTTCAGCACAGTGCAGCCCACACAGCAGTGTGTGTCCAATACTGCTTGCTGAACAAAATTTTTTAAATTTTGCCCAAAGAAATCCAACAAGGGACACTTACCACATAAGTCAAATGCATTTGAAGACTGAAACACAGTGGAGTTGAAAATCTACTTCAAAGGTGAGGATGCATTTGGCATTGCTTGCAAGAAAGAAAGAGGAAGGATCTTGTAAACAAATATAAATGTGAATTTGACAATTTGAGCTTAATGAGGAAGACAAAAGCCCTGGCAAGATGAACCTTCTCTGTTTCCTACCTACTTGCTACTCCCCTTCCACATGGAAAGGAACAAGAACAAACACAATAGAAAGGTCATGGAATTTTTATACATAGATTCCAGTAATTAAATTGAAGACTTTTCAAGAGTGATCAAAGACAAATTTTACCCCTCAGGATGAACTCAACAGTGAGACTTAAAACACACACACACACACACACACACACACACACACACACACACAGAAACTATAAAACACCCAAATACCTAAATGTCCATCAATAGGAGAATAATTGAACAAGTTTTATGTATTCTTACTAAGGATACTGCAGCTATTAGAGAGAATGGGTTAGATTTGTATATGTACTCATACAGAAGGATGTAATTGACCACTGGGTGAAAAAAGCAAACTGCTAAATGATATAGCATAAATTTGTATTGATATAAGTTATTTTATAGTACTATGCTGGAGCTGACTTATACTGGCTCATGGGAACCAACTGGCACATTTTCAGAAATTTGACAAGCTGGTTGTTAAACGATGGATACCTTAAAACCAGCCACGATGAGGGTATTTGCACCAAAGAAATCAGTATTCTACAGTTAAGGGCTTTTTTTATTTTTACCCCTAGAGAGTTGGTTTACCAGCACACCACTGTTCAAATATATGCAGATAGAAGTTTGTATAAGCATATGCAATTATCTGGAATGATATATAATAAACGGTGAATTGTTGAATTACATATACTGATTTTTCAATTTTAAAAATCAAAAAAAGAAAAGCAACACTGGTAATCTCACACACACAAAAAGTGAATGCTACCATACTCTAAATAAAATCCATTTAGAAGTCCAAGTGTAGTATCTTCTGATGACTATGCTCAATTTTTTGAGAAAGGCTAAAACAATTTGATCTATAATATTTTACGGGCTATCTATATATTTGGTATACTTAATATATTTCAATTCTATGTTTAAATACTAGAGCTGTTCAGAGCTACTGTATGGAGATGAACCCATACTTCTCATAAAAACTGGTTCAAATATTTATATTGATAATGGAAAAATGGTCAGTATTCTTAACACGTGAGCATCCATATAAATATATCTCCATGTGGATATATCTCTATGAGGCTCATTACTAGATTAAGAATTTCAGTTTCAAAGCATAAAAATAGTTCATATTTCTGATAGACTGCCAAAGTAGCATCCAAAAGACTATATCAATTATATCCCATCAATAATGTATGAAGAGTACCCCATCAGTGTCTGATATTATGAATATTTAAAACTCATTTAACCATCAGATAAACAAAACTTGACCACAAAAAAAATAAAAAGGATCTCTGGATTACAGTTGACACTTTCCTGATAATTATTAGTTTAGCATTTAAAAAATTTATTAACTATTTATATTTTATCTTCTATGAACGACCTAGTTACCTATATAATCTTTGTCTATTTTTTTAATTGGATTATTTTTTTCTCAAATTTTAGGAGCTCTTTAAATATTATGTCAGCTAATCTTCTGTCTCAAAAATGTTACAAATATTTTTCAGAGTCTGTTGCTTGTCTTTTAAATAGTTTTATTTTATAGAAGTTTTATTTTTTTCTATATTCAGATATTTCAGTCTTTTCCCTTTATGGCTTCTGAATTTTGTGTTATGCTTAAGAGGACCTTTCCTCCTCTAAGAGTTAAAAAAAAAAGCACTTTATTCTAGTCTGTGTGTGTGTGTGTGTGTGTGTGTGTGTGTGTGTGTGTGTGTGTGATTTAGATATTTAATTCATCTGGAAGTTATTTTAGTAAATATGTAGACTAGAAATCAACTGAACTAATGCTATCATTACAAGCCCTTACTCATTGATTTTTAAGTTCCAGATTTATTCGTGTGTGTGTGTGTGTATTATGAAATGCATATTTACATTTTACACGGATTCCTGAATTTTAGTATTTTATTAAGGAAAACTTCAGAATACTTATAATTTACTTTCTTGTGAGAGTAAACTCAAATGATATTTAACTACTATTCCATAATAACTGTACAGTGAAATCAGAGAATATTTGGTCATTTCTGTTGTATAAAATCACTTTGCAATACAGCTATTGAGTCATCTCATTTAATAATATAAATCTTTCTTGAACTGTCTTCAATCCTTGATGCTGAATAAACCATCAATAAAATGTGCATCTAGTTTAATGTAAGTCTTTAAATGTATTTTTGAGGCTTAATCTACATTATGCCATTAAAAAAACATTTTATCATATAAAAAGGAAAAGTTTCTTAATGTAGTAATTCAAAGTCCAAAGCACAATTAAAATGAAACCATGCCTTTTTTTTTTTCTAGCAAGCTCTTGCCTGTAAGTGTTTTCCAACATGGCCCCCAAAAAGAAGACTATCAAAAAGAACAAAGGAGATATCAATGAGATGACCATAATTGTAGAAGATAGTCCCCTGAGCAAACTAAATACTTTGAATGGAATCCTAGAGGGAGGCAATGGCCTTAGCTGCCTTTCTTCTGAATTAACAGATGCTTCTTATGGCCCCAATCTCTTGGAAGGTTTAAGTAAAATGCGGCAGGAGAGCTTCCTATGTGACTTGGTCATTGGCACCAAAACCAAATCCTTTGATGTTCACAAGTCAGTGATGGCTTCATGCAGTGAGTACTTTTACAACATCCTCAAAAAGGACCCATCTACACAGAGGGTGGATCTGAATGATATCTCACCACTGGGTCTGGCAACTGTCATCGCATATGCCTACACTGGAAAGCTGACCCTCTCCTTGTATACAATAGGAAGCATTATTTCTGCTGCTGTTTATCTTCAGATCCATACCCTTGTAAAGATGTGCAGTGATTTTCTGATCCGAGAGATGAATGTTGAGAATTGCATGTACATTGCTAACATTGCTGAAACATATTCTCTGAAAAACGCAAAAGCAGCAGCCCACAAATTTATCCGGGATAACTTCCTTGAATTTGCAGAATCAGATCAGTTTATGAAACTGACGTTTGAGCAAATTAACGAACTCCTTGTAGATGACGACTTACAGTTGCCTTCTGAAATAGTAGCATTCCAGATTGCTATGAAATGGTTAGAATTTGACCAAAAGAGAGTAAAATATGCTGCAGATCTTTTGAGCAATATTCGCTTTGGTACTATCTCCGCACAAGACCTGGTCAATTATGTTCAGTCTGTGCCAAGAATGATGCAAGATGCTGATTGCCACAAACTTCTTGTGGATGCTATGAACTACCACTTACTTCCATACCATCAAAACACATTGCAGTCTAGGCGCACGAGAATCCGTGGGGGCTATCGAGTCCTCGTCACTGTTGGGGGACGTCCAGGCCTTACTGAGAAGTCCCTTAGTAGAGATATCTTGTATAGAGACCCTGAAAATGGATGGAGCAAGCTTACAGAAATGCCAGCCAAGAGTTTTAATCAGTGTGTGGCTGTGATGGATGGATTTCTTTACGTGGCCGGTGGTGAAGATCAGAATGATGCAAGAAATCAAGCCAAGCATGCAGTCAGCAATTTTTGCAGGTACTTGATTCTTTATTAGGAACTAAAATGGTTCAATATTATGAGGAAATTGCCCTGACTTAGAAGGAAATTAATCATGCCTAGTAGCTCAGTAAATCAATAATAATATTAATAATGCCACATTACATATATACACAACACTTCACATTATATAAAGTGTATTCATGTATATTATGTACTCTAGATTTCTGAATAAGCTTGTGAAGTGAGCAGGGAAGACATAATTATTCTGATTTTGCATATGAGAAATCTGATACCCAGAGAAGTTATACCACAAGTAAGTGGCAATTCACATTTCCTTATTTCTAGTCAGATGCTTACCACAATGTACTGCCTTTCTGAAAGACACTGGGTACAAATTTAGTTTGTAAGACTGAGTGTTAAGAATGAATAAAATAATATAGAATTTATTTTAAGTGACTATTACTGATGACTGTCAGATTTATAATTGGCAGATAGAATGGAGCATTAAAAATGTAGCAGCCAATTAATTTTAAGTATTTATTTGAAGATTGAATAGCAGAGAAAATGTCAATATTTTTGACACATGAAAAGAAAAAGCATAGTAAATCCTTCAGAAAATGGAATTCAAATGTTATATTTTTGTATATTTATAATAAAAAATTAAACTTCCATATATATGAAGTCTTCAGAAAGTCATGCTTACATCATGGTAGTAATAAAAAGCCAAACATAATTAATGAGCAAGATCTGAGAATTTAAAGAGTATATCATGAAAAATGTTATTTGTTATTTCATTATATGTATGTGTGTGTCATTTAAATGAACCCATCTTTTGCCTTTAATTTGTTTATAACTATAGTTAAGTTTTCATTTGGAGGTTAAATGGGACAGAGATGAATGAACATCAAACTGACAGGGTGAGTTCTGTGTTTACAATACTTTAAAACTATGTGCATGGAAAAGTATCAGTTTATTACTGATTTTCCTCCTCTGATAACTCAACTATTAGTACTCAAGTCACTGTTTTTTGCAGTACTGATTTCAGTGTTTACTGTATAATTACTGTAATATTGAACAGTGAAAAAAAATATGTCGCTAAACTGAATAACCTTACCTAACTAATAAGTGCTAGAAAATAGGGAAGTATCAAAAGTTAAAGCTTTGTTAATGCTTTTGGACATGAGTTTCATTGACTCATTCTAAACAGATGATAGAAAACTTGATGGAGTAACTTAGCTTTACTGCTGCAGTGGCCAGCCAGGAAAGGTGTGTGAATAAGAAGGGGTTTGTGAGAAATGCAGAAATCCGATTGGTCAACCCCTACCTTAATTAAGCAGTGAGAGTGAGCTAGAGATAGTTGGTCTCTGAAGATATGTGGAATTGGCTTTAATGTGGCAATGTTCCCTTTTCCGATGCCACAAATACCCAGGTTCCATTCCCTCCCTCTCCCCCCCCCCACACACACATCTCACAAATCCTACTGGATGATGGATATTCAAATATGGATGAAAGGGGACTGGAAGACCACCGATTTTTTAGGGTCTTCTCCAAGTGGCCTCATAAAAGAAGTGAGTTTATAAACGGGAAGAGGGGAACCACCAATGCCTGTCTTGCTTTTTAAAAGTGTCACACTTTTTTACTGTTTGAAAGAAAAACACAAGCATTCAGGTGAGGAGTTGTGCTATGTCAGTAGCCTCCTTGCATAAAAAGTGTCAAAATTCCCACGTTATGGTGTGTGGAGTATCATGGGTCCCCTGACCACCACCAACAAGGCTGTCACACTTCCTCTGCCATTCCCAGATACGATCCCCGCTTCAACACCTGGATACACCTGGCCAACATGAACCAGAAGCGCACGCACTTCAGCCTGAGCGTGTTCAACGGGCTCCTTTACGCCTTGGGCGGTCGCAATCCAGAAGGCAGCCTGGCCTCGCTGGAGTGCTACGTGCCCTCCACCAATCAGTGGCAGCCGAAGACGCCCCTGGAGGTGGCGCGCTGCTGCCACGCCAGCGCGGTCACCGACGGCCGAGTGCTGGTGACCGGAGGCTACATCAGCAATGCGTACTCGCGCTCGGTGTGTGCTTACGACCCGGCCAGCGACTCGTGGCAGGAGCTGCCGAGCCTGAGCACGCCAAGGGGCTGGCACTGCGCAGTCACCCTGGGCGACAGGGTGTATGTGATGGGGGGTAGCCAGGTAGGGCCGCGCGGGGAGCGCGTGGACGTGCTGACCGTGGAGTGCTACAGCCCGGGGACCCGCCAGTGGAGCTACGCGGCGCCGCTGCAGGTGGGTGTGAGCACGGCCGGCGCCTCGGCGCTGCACGGCCGCGTCTACCTGGTGGGCGGCTGGAACGAGGGCGAGAAGAAGTACAAGAAATGCATCCAGTGCTTCAACCCCGAGCTCAACGAGTGGACCGAGGACGACGAGCTGCCGGAGGCCACGGTGGGCGTGTCCTGCTGTACCCTTTCGATGCCCCACAACGTGACCCGGGAATCCCGTGCCAGCTCAGTGTCCTCCGTGCCAGTCAGTATCTGAACCCAGGTAGATGCGGAGACGCGGGAAGAACAAGTGTTTATTTATTCGTGGTTAACCTTTGAGTTAGCAAAAAGGAAAATATATAACATTTACTACAATGATTGTATTTTAAAATATAGCGAGGCGTACGTCTTGGTGGGTTTAAATTCTTGGGATGGCATAATCTACCTCTGTGTCATTTTGTTAAGGCAAAATACAGGGCCGTAGCCAACAATGAAAAATAGAATTTATTTAAATGGCCACTGGGTGGCAGACAGAATTCACTGTAGGCCCTCTTCTCCCAAACGTATAGCGGTTACACCCACATTTAAGATAAATTCCTGTACACTTCAGTACACACGACTCATGTGAGTAAACGATTTCACGCACAAACGTTCATTTCCCTCTCTCTCTTTTTCTCTTTGGGGAGTTGAAAATATCCAGTGTTAGGTTTAATTTTAAGATGGAACTCCACCTATAGCCATAAACACTTAAGGTTTAATTCTATATTTCAAAGCAATTTCTTTTCCTATACATGACTGAGTAAAAGATTTTGAAAGTCATCCCATGACAGCGTCGTAAAGCTTAAAGTCTTACTGGAAAGTAACAGGGATTCCACCCAGGGAATTAGTTAATTAATTCCATCCTGTCTAGTTCATACCTTTAGTTTACCCATGATTCCCTTGTTCCTCCATACCTCAGGCCTCGGTTTATTTCCTGTCATAAAATCTTGCCCTCAAAGAAGGAACTGATATTAGTCATTTAGTCATTAAATCATTTTGTTGTTTCTCCTAGATCTATTTGCACTTTAACCCTTGTTCCTTGTTGAGGGAATTGCAAGAATCATGGAAGCCTTACTCTGACCCTAAAAACTAAATCAAGATGGTTAAAAGCAACCTGGATCCTAAAATCCCTGGGAAGAACACCAAATAAAATTATGTCCTTAAGGATTATTAACTTAACGCTTATATAGCCTGAAGATTATACAACCAACAACAATAATTTGATTTCTCCCACTCTTTTATATGGATGAAAGTGAAGGAAACATTTGAAATTCTTGGATTTGCCGATAGCAGGATGACTGAGTTCTATTGGTAAGTGCCATTGTTGCCCGTTTCATAGCAGACCTCCTGATTTCTTAATTAAAAATCTAATACATTCATTTCACATAGAAATATTAAAAAATAATGCCCACTCATGTATTTTAACCTCATCTCCAAATTAGCTTTGCAAAATAAAGTGTATCCACTTGATTTCGTTTTTCATATAGGTTTGCCAAGTTTGGAGCAAGGGAATGATTGTTGTAAATGATACATATTTTCCTTTCTTATAATTGATCACTTTATTCTTTGATAGTTTGTTTTGAGGAGGAAGTGGCCTATCAACTATGGGTTATGTGCAGTTGGATTTTGAAAAATAAAGCAAACTGTTTCAATGGTTAAACATGAGCTATATGGAAATATAACTGTGTTTTCATTAATCCCATCCTCTCCCACCTTGTATAGATTAGGTTATTGCTAGGGTTACAATATTTATATTTAAAATATGTTATTGGCACTGTGAAAAGTGTTTCATATAGTACATTTTGTGGAACAATTTTATATCACTGCCCTGTATGAAAAATTTGAACTCTGTGCATTTAATGGTAACACTCAAGTAATGGCTAAAGCATGGTAAGTTAAGAACAAGATATTATTAATAAAAAACACTGGGCTGTTCTTTCATCCCACACAGAGCTTGAGGAGCATCTCCATGTACAGAGCAGATCTAAAAACACCTGCTCCTTTGACGCTTTATCCGCCCAGGCTGATAAATAAAGGTGTGTGAGAAACTAGTTTGTGGAGCAAGTTAAATCACTGAGCTCTGACGTTACCCAACTACAACATATAAACACTCATTTGTCCTGGCAGCATCATTGGTGAAATAAACTTTCCACTTTTAATAAATTATTTTCATGGTTTCTCCATGTTTCCCAACTGGAAAATTACTTCATTTTTATTATGTCTTCAGCTTACATTCAATTACACTCCCAAGTCTTAGGATCTAACCCTGTACCTTCTTTTATTTTCCTGAATGAAAAGGACTTGTTATTTTTGTAATGCCAGAGCCCTGTGATTAAACAAAAGCATCAGTTGAGGGCATCAGAGAAAGAGCATGTTACCCAGTCACTGAAATAATGCAACTCAATCTCTCATTTTCTGAATAGGCCAGAGACCTGATGAGAAAGTCTCCAGGAAGCCAGACTTTAATGTAGTCTGTCCTTTTTTAGGTAGGTCCTTGGTGCCGAGTAGTCATCTCTGATGTACTAGTTGCATTGGCATTGAATGAGTTTTATTTTTACTTCCAGTGTTGTAAGAATGGTTATGAATAGAAAGTCAGTGATGGTACAGATTATAATGCTAAACGATGAGTAGATGGCAGTGGAGTGTTGTCAGTGAGGAGGTATAACTGAGGTAATGAGGAAGTGAGGTTGTACTAAATGGTTCTATGATTTAAGGCAAGGCAGTAACTATAGTAAGTGTACTTTACAAACATGCATGCAAATAGAGGTTTACCTGGAAATATGGAATTGTTAAAAGGTCCATTTTTTTGCTGGTTATCCTGGCCAAATAGCTTCAAAATTCATTCAAGTTGCTAGACACAAGCAACTAAAATCACTTCATTTAATGAATTTTCCCTGAATTACAAAGAAATGAATTTATGGAATTTTTTCTGAATGATCTGTTGAATTCTTCTCTGAATGAATCTCTGAATGAGTTAGATCCCCACCCCAGCCACTGACAATTATGTTTTCTAGCACAAGGCAGCATTAAAATGAATTATTTTTCAGTATTTCTTTTCATGCAAATAAAAACGATAGTGTAGTTTCCTAACCATTCCTTCATGGTAATTAGGAAAACTAAAGATTCTAAAATATTAAAGATTTACCCTCCAGCACATTCACAGGGTAAGCAACATTTAAATTTCCCTCTCAGGGAATTTGAAATAAAACACTTGTCTTGGATACTCCTACAAAAGGTTGTATTTATTCAGCAAATTTTGGCAAAAACTTGTTTTTTGTTTGCTTAAAACATTCTGGTACTATATAAGGAACAACAAGCCAAAATGTATAGAGTGTTTGTAACCTCATCACTATCAATAAAGCTGCATTCAAAAACAGCTTGTCAGCAATCAAACGTGGGCAGTTTTAAAGTGTCCTTTTGTGATGACTGTAGTGTCTTTTTTTTCCCTCTATTTAGTTTTCATGATGATTCACCTCAACAAAACAGACACACACACACACACACACACACACACACACACACACACACACACACACACACATTGAAAAGCTGTTCCAGTAGCTTGAAGACTAATGAAAGAAAAAGGGACAAAACATCAACAATGACTTGCGTTATAACTCAGACAAAAGCCTAAGTCTCGCCTATCTCAGCCCTGACCACTTAGAAGTCATAGATTAAGTGTGTTTGTACCATGAGTCTCGTTTCCACCCTGACCACACCCAATCTGGCACACACGCGGGTTCATCATCATTTGCAAGGAAACTACTTTTTAGGAAATGCAGTTGTACAGACAAATCCTCACAGCCTTCCTCTTCCACCTCACCCACCAAATGAGCAAATGAAACATAACCAAGGTAAAAATTCTCAACCTTTGATTTGATTTAGTAGTTAAATAATAACACTTAGGTGAGGCCATCTTAGAGGCCATCTAGATTTCTGGAAAATCCTAAATGGCAGCCAGAGTTTTTCTTAAACTTCTCCAAGTTGTGTAACCATTTTAAAAAGATGAAGTTGACCCCCAAACAGAAGCCAGCTGGTGCCAGGTTTCCAGTTGTGAGCATAACTGCAAGGAGCCCCCAGAGTTTCTTTTGAACACCCACATAGCTCCAAGCTTCCCTACAGGTTTGAACTCGCTCCCACATCTACACATAAGTCCATCTATCCAATTCAAAAGACATGAATTGCATCTAAGGCACTATAGTATGTATCAAAGGAATAACCACTTTGCACATACTGTAGTTGGCAAACGTGGTAGAAAGGCTAGAGACTAAAAGATATTCAAACCTGTCTCGAGGCTTTCCTCTCCTCAGGGTGGTATGACGGTGGATCAGGGGATCAATTCTGGAAGGAACAGTCCTTGAAAGAGAGAGGAAATCCAACACAGGGCCCCTAGAAACAGCCTACTCGGCCCCTTTGTTTTCTTTCCTAGCCATGTTCACTTGTTGGTATGAACCCAGGTGTCAACCGCATTACTCTGTATGCCAACACCAATCTTCCACTCAGTTCCAGGCATGCTCCTTAGGGAGTGGTGAGGCAAGAAAGGACTTTTTCCAAACCCTTGGAGGGGGGCTTGGTAGCCTCTGATTAGCCTAAAAATCCTATATGGCTTTTCTCCTTATCCCTTTCAGAGAAGTGCCTTATGAAATCAAGCTGGCTCATCCTGGAGAAACTGTCACTCAGACTTTGCCTTGATACGAGTTGAATCACAGTTATAGAAGTGATGACAATCTTCAAAAAGAAAGCCTCTTGGAATTACTATTATTTAGCGTAGGAAGGGTGACACAGCAAAATGGGAGAAGCAAGGCCTTGATTAGAATAACAAACGTTTCTCCCCACTCCACCTTCATCCCCACCGTTGCAACATGTACCCAAAGGAGGGAAATGTCCAGTGATATGAATAAAGAATTTATGCCTTTTTATCTGGCTGTTTTTGCTTTGTGCTCACATGTAGGTCATCACCATAGGCTCTACATTCAGAAATCCTGCCTCTTTCCATGGGGACATCTCTACCCTCAATGAGAGGGGTAAACTGATTAGCACCTGTTTTTAGTGGGCTAGGTATGGAAGTAATCTTCGTCAATTCCAGCCACAACACTTTGACCAGAACTAGACATATGATCTTACGTAGGGAGCTAGGGAGCTGGGGCAAAAAAAGAAATTTTTCTTAAAGCATTGTCTCTACAGAATAAATGATTACATTTTGGAAACCCATGGCTCTCATCTCCCTCAGTGATTATCCGTGGAGCAAGGAACGTCCGAGGCCAACTGCCTCCCCTCAACCACAGCCCTCTGGACCTGCTCACGCCATAGCAGTGCTTTTCTCCCCCGCCTTCCCTGAATCATAAGACTTGCCCTCATTTCCCTTTTTTTTTTTTTCAAAACCAGCTCCCTAAAAAGGGATGTGGGGTGGGGAAGTGGGGGGTAATGCAACCTACAAAACCCTCCTGCTAACACCTCTTGTAACCTCCTTGTAAGCTGGATGGACTTTCGACCTCTTTCCCCTGGGCCAGAGTTTCCCAAATTGTCTTTCCCGCATGTCAATAGATACTATAAGAAAAAAGTTTTCCAGGGTGAACTTAGTTCCGAAATGCTATATTAAAAAGGGAGTGTAGGGCCAGCAGAGTGGCGCGTTGGTTAAGAGCTGGTTTGGGACGCCAGAGGGCCCCGGATCGGATCCCACATATGAGGGCCAGTGACACTGCCCTCTACAGCTAAGATGCTGAACAACAGCTCGACCTGGAGCTGGGCTGCTGTGAGTCACCGGCCATGGCATAGGCTGCAGCCCCTGCTGCAGTGGGTTGCCATGGGCTACCGTGTGTAGCCAGCAGCCAGCGTGAGCGGCCAGCAGCCGCAGTGAGCGGCCGTCCAGAAGCCGGCGACTGATCTGCCTCACCTGGGAAGAGCGCAATGATGGTGCCAACTTGGGCCAGTGAAGCAACGTCCTCCACAACTAGACTGAAGAACAAAACGACAGCAACTTGTCTGTCAACCTTCCCCCAATTCCTCAGTGCTGTTCCCATCCCCCAATTCCCCAATTTAAAAAAAACAAGGGGGAGTGTAGTAGTTTCTTAGGGCTGCCATAACAAAGTACCACAAACTGGGTAGCTTAAAACAAGAGAAATTAATTCTCTCACACACAGTTTTGGAGGCTGGAAGTATGAAATCAAGGTGTCAGCAAGGTTCGCTCCTTCTTGGAGGCTCAAAGGGAGAATATATTCCATGCCTCTCTCTCAAGCTTCTGGTGTTGCTGTCAATTCTTGATGTTCCTTGGCTTGTAGATCCATCACTCCAGCCTCTACCTCCTTCTTCACATAGTGTTCTCCCTCTCGTTTCCCTATTATATCTTGCGTTTTCCTTTCTGAAAGACAAGCCCAGGCAAGTCTTGCAGCCTTTTCTCAATTCAGAGCCCTTACAGGTCTACATTAAATACATTAAGTGCATTCTGTAAGCCTTCATTGTTTGCATAAATCGGGTTCCCACAAACCATCAAGGAAATACATCTAATATCCGAACCACTCCCTTCACCTCTTCCTTCTTGGGCCTCTTGTCCTTCTACTTCTAAAATACTCTAAACTCAAAAAAGAAGAAAGAAAAAAGGAAGAAAGAAAAAATAAAAAAGAAATAAAATACATAAATAGAATACTCTAAATTCTTCTTGATTTTACTTCTTCTGGAACAATATTGACTGTAAGTTATACATCTGTGACTAAATTCCTATCTAGCCTTATGAAGAAGTTCCCAGTACATGATGGTTTGAGGAGAAGAGCACACATTAGATAGAGCTTAAATTTTAAAAAAAGAAATACATGCATCTGTTCTTAATCGCCATAAGAAGAGAGGCTTCTTATGGGAGAGAGGGAGAAGGAAATTGAGATGGTTGTGCTCTGTCTCCAAAGTCTTCTTCCCCAACCTTTAGGAAGCCTTTCCATTTATAGCAGAGTTCCAAGTTGAGAAATGTTTTCATCTATCACAGTTCTGCATGTGAGTAACTAAAGAACTGAATAAATGAGAAATGTAAACAGAAGTAGTCTCAGAGACACAGAGGAAAAACTGAGGGTTGCTAGTTGGGAGTGGGTGGGGGTGAAAGAGAAGGGGAAGGGAGGAGACAATGCAAATTGGTAACTGTAATATGGCCTCAGTGATAGGAAAGACAGTCTGGGGAATATAATCAATAATGTTGTAAATATTTTTTAGGGGGCCAGATGGACTCATGTCTTGTTAGGGAGACCACTTCATAGATGGGGTAGAGGCTTGACCACTGTACTGTATTTATGAAGCTGATGTTGAATAATATTGCATGTCAACTATAATTATATATACATATAGTCACGGGATGTGGAGTAGAGTGTGGGAATGGAGTCAATGGAATTGTAATAGATAAGTAGGATATCGGGGATGGGAGGGCAGTAGAGAGGGCAGGAGATGAAAAGGATAACTATTGCATTGTTCTGTACACCTGAAACTAACAATAAAAAAAAAGAAAGAAAGAAATATTGTATGGGAAAAGAATCCTTTCCTTGTTTAGCAAATGATGATTGGACCTAACCATGCACCACGCATGCTGCTGGAACACCATTGTGAACAAGATGCTGTGTTTCCCCAGGGAAGAGCCAAAATCCCTGAGGGGAGACTCGAATGCCTGAAGCACACTCATTTATCATTTCGATGAAGCAGAGCCAACTCCAGAAAGTGCAATTAAATTAACAAGCATTTACTTCTTGCCAAGTTGTGTGCTTCCTGGGTCCTGTGGGACAGAGAAAAGAAAACCCAACTTAGAATTTGCCCTCAAGGAGATAAGAGGTGCTAAAAGTTTTCTAACTGACTACATTTGGAGGTTATTCTCTTATTTTTTACTCCCATGGCCCTGAGCATGGTCTCTCATTCCCTGCCCTGGTCTGTGCCCTGGGAGGCTGACCTCCAGGGATTGCATCATACAGACTCAGATTCTTTGGCCCATAGGTTGTATTTATCAAATGGGAGGCATCAGGAGGAGATCAGAGGGCAGAAGAGAGTGGTCGGGGTATCGCCTGTCCTTGGGGGGCTTCGGCACTGTGCTTCTGGCCATGGCTGCAACTACAGCACCTGCCAGGCAGCCTCTGCTCCCCGGCTCCCACTCACTCTCATCACCATATCATAGCTTCCCACTTATGGGTAGTTTCTTGCTGGGTTGTTTATGCTCTGCCACCCCTTTTGAATATGCTCCTTAAGAGGAAGGACCTTATCTGTCTTGTTCAGTGTCTAGAACAATGCTTAGAGTATAGTAGGGCATCAATACTTTTTGTTAAGTAAGTAAATGAGTGAATGCATGCATGAAATCATAAAATCATCATGACTTCCTTGCTTGCTAGATTCCTACTCTGGTATTATTCATGTATTTAATAAATACTTATTGCACATCTACTATATTCGAAGTACTTT